GGGGGGGGTGTGGGGGGTGGGGGGGGGGGTTGTGGGGGGGGGGGGGGGGGGGGGGGGGGGGGGGGGGTGGGGGGGGGGGGGGGGTGAGTATGAGTTAATTTAGTAGTTTGAGCTTTTTTGAATCTCCATTCATATTCAAACTCGAATTAGGCAGCTGCTGCTCCGCAGAGGTTTCTGCAGAAAAGGCATTCTGAATTTTTGCTAGACAGATGCCACGCCTAATAAGAATTTTCGCTGTAACACGTAGAGATTCTTTTACGAACTTTCAGAATGTCTTACTCGGCGAATTCTATCAGTGTCTGGTGAGTTTTATGTTCTCGACTAGAAACGCAAGATCTAACTAGGATCTACTCTCAGTCTTGCTCAAAAACTGAGCAGAATTATGAGAGTTGATTCTAGCAACAATTTCTTCTGATTTTCACAATGTTTCTAGCGACCTCTCCCTATAACACTCATGCATACTTAGTACAGTAATTTTCATTATAAATTGCTCAAAATCTTGTTAGGTGGTTTTCAGTTTAGGCATCATGAAAAGTTTCAAGACAAAAGCTTATTCTGACACACATGTTTGTTGCAAATGAAAAGGTTTCTGTTAGGAGTTTGCAGAACAGTATTCTACAAATTCTACAAGGTGTATGTGAAATGTTTAAAGGAACTGCTACCTATACCCCACCTGGTAGATTCTTTTCTTGGGACTAACGAGGGAACATTCCCAAGTGTCACATCGCTTTTGAGTCGAGAGTATGAGCATCATATAGGTCCTAATGATCTATGAATAACCTGAAAAAATGTGGTGCTGCTAGCTTATTGTTGTCGAGATATTGTATTTTTACGATGTGTTTTTAGATGAATGCCGTGGTCCCACTCGGGAACACTAGAAAAAATGATTTTCGAATTTAGACTTGAAACTTTACATAGAAACAGGCCTTCTTAAGAATAGTTATTTGTGAAAGTTTCGGATGTTTTGATTAGTTCCTATCCTGAAATGAGAACATCAAATGTACTGATTTATCCAAATGAAGTTATCATAGCTGTATCTACGGATAGAAACAACAAAAAGATCTGAAACTTTCACAAAAAACTATTCTCATCGAGGCCTGTTTCTATGCAAAGTTTCAGTTCAAAATTATAAACTCAGTTTTTCTGGTGTTCCTGAGGGGGACCACGGCGTCGTTCTTAAAAATACCGTAAAAATTCAATATCTCGACAGCAATAAGCTAGCAGCACGAACTCTTTTCAGGTTATTCATAGATCATTAGGGCCTATATGATGCTCATACTCTCGANTGTTAAAAAGTGACCCGTCGAAAATGACAGTCATTGAAAAAAATATGAATAACAATAGAACGAGAAAGTTCACACGAGAAATTTTTCTGTTCTGTTCTGTCCTGTTCTGTCCTGTTCTAATCGCTATCTTTGTCCTGGCGGGCGGCAGGACAGGACAAAAATCAAAACCACGTCCTGTCCTGTTTTGTCCTGTTGACAATCTCTGTCCTGGCGGGCGGCAGGACAGGCCAAAAATCAAAATCGTGTCCTGTCCTACAGGACAGGACAGGACAGGACACCAGGACAGCAGGACCGTCCTGTCCTGTGCTCATCTCTGATCTGAGTGATGACTCTCTACACCCATACCCTTGCTTTTATCATAAATGTCATATCAAGGGTTAAATATCGGTGAAACGATCAAAATTACAGAAGGATAGAGTATGGGCATGAATCCTTCTCTGCTTTTTCTAGTCACAATTAGTTCTAGCTAATGAGAGTTGTCTCACCTTAACCTCGAGATGTCGCCTCTCGTGGTTTCCTCGCTGGGTGTCCGCTTTTTCTTTATGAGAGCTCAGTCAGTTTCGACATTTTAAAATTTTTTCCACAAAAGGCACCAGATCTAAATAAACTGATCTTAATGTAGTCTTTTACTATTCAGGTACTTTCATTTTCTAATATTTTCAAAGTGAGGAAAAATTCATGATTTTTGACCATCTCTTTTCCTCTTTTTTGAAAGTCTCGGTAGATCTTAGTAATAAACCTTATCTTCTAAATAATTCAGATAATCTTGAAGAGATTGTCTGGAGATTAATTTAGTTCAATTGTATTTTCAGAAAATAAAATCTCTTTTTTGTAGATTATCAACTTTTAAATGGCTACTATTAATAGTGACAGTTCAACTGCTTTTCGTTTTGCTGATCTCGGTTCATTGCCAAAGCGAATGCTAGCACCCATTGAAGGCTATGAAGACATGCCTCTGGTATCAATTGAAGAAGCGGTGCAACCTCTCGTGAATATCGTACCAAAAGTCGAGCGTAACGTATATATTGTCAAACAGAACTGTAAGAATCCAGCAGATGGCTTAACCACTGATGAATCTGCTTCGATTATGCTGTACACGTATGAATCGATGCCACATAACAACTCTCTGTATATCATTCTCAACGACACATTACGTTCAGAGGACAGACAAAAACTCATTCCTTGGTTTTTGTATTTACGTCTTGTCTTAACAGCACTAGCTCGCCTACCGTCCGACCGACATTTTATTAATCGTGGAGTTCGAAAAGACTTACGTGCAGAATATCCAGAAGGCAGCACTATTATTTGGTGGGGATTTTCATCTTGTACCTCATCCGTGAAGGTACTCGAATCTGAGATATTTTTTGGCAAAACTGGAACCCGTACTCTATTTCAAATCGATTGTCATACGGGAAAAGATATTAAAAATCATTCATTTATACAGAAAGAAGACGAAATTCTCCTGCTTCCTGCCAGACAACTTCAAGTTAAATCCTGTCTTGATTCTGGTAATGGACTCTATATAATACAACTCAAAGAAATAGATCCGCCGTATCCATTACTTGAACCAGTGCCCAGATCAAGCTCAATAGAACCAGCCAAGAAGAATATTAATCTCGGGTCTCAAGCAACAGGCAAGCTAGCCAAGCCAACACCATCAGCCGCATCAAGCGCAGCATCCTACAATATGCCAGCAATTCAAAAGAACCCTTCAGGTAATGATTGATTATGAATACGAAAAAGCGCGAATCAGAATTCTGAACATATTAGTTTGTTTACAATCTATTGTGAGTAAACGAAGGAGTGAATAGTTGAAGAGAAGATCCTTATCTATCTATTTATAAGAGAACTCTTCACACATATGACTTACCAATTCCGTTTCGGTTTCGCTACTATTTATTATGTAAATACGCGACATAGAACCACATGAATAGAGTGCATGAGTACTCGTGCAGCTGGATGCAAATGATACAAATATTTGCAATTTTTTCATTCATAAGATAGATCTGATAACGACCTATCGCCGCAAATGTTAACTTTGGTTGCATATCATCCCTTCCTGTACTTTTTATAACCATATGAATGATGTATTTAGTTCTGTATGAAGTCATGCCACCAAAAACAGAAATAGTTGTCGATATCTCATGACAAGTAGAGAAAGAAAATTACGTACGATGTAAAAATAATGGCGGAAAAGTCTATCAATATTTCTCTTCGAGAAACGGGTGCTAAAAAAAAAATTCCTTACTACAATACAGAAGTTTTCCTCCTCGTTGGAATCATATATAACTTATTTTTATAACACATTCATGAACGAAACTACACGACAGAGAAATAAAAGCACTCTTCAAAAGAATCCTCAGTTTTCGTGAAATTCAGAAAAATGATGCAAACTGTTGTTCCTTACAATTCTTCGACCAACATGTTGCGAAACGAACATATTGTTTCATCTGACAGGAAATTTTCTCCTCTTTCGAACAGCGTATGATTCGTATATTAGTAAATGAAATCAGACATTAAAAAGAAGAAATAATCTTACATTAAATTTATATTTTTTATATAAACTTGCCGAAAGCATCTTGTAAACTGGCAGTTAAATATAATTAACTGTTATCTGCAAGATATTTTTAACGAATTCATATCAAAATCTAAATTTATTGCGCGATTGTTTCGTGGTTTTCTCATCTCGTTTCAGTTACTTATGAGTGACACATATTAATCATACACTCTTTGAAACAGAATATTTCCTATCAATTGACAAAAAATATTCGTTTCGGAACTCATCTATTGAAGAGAAATATGTGTCGACATTTTAAGTAGCCCTTTTATAGGAAAATGCAGATACATTTTCAGAGTGCTTCTCTTCTCTCTTGCATAGTTTCGTTCCTGAGGGTGCTATAAAAATAAGTTCTGTACGATTTGAACGAGGAGAAAAGGCTCAATCTTATGATTGAAACATTTCTTGAAGCATTCTTTTCATGAAGAAAAATATGCCAAGACATTTTGTGCCATCAGTTTTGCATCTCACTTTACTTATATTTTGAAATCTTTCTTTTTCAAGTTCATGTTCTCGCAGCAGATCTGATTTTCAGATATTTAGAATACCGTACGCAACTACGAAAATGTTGTTGATATCGAAATGTTTCGTATGAGATTTTTCGTATCTTGTTCGTTTTTTTTCATAACAATACTTATGGTTTGAGCTGAAATCCAGCGATTTTCAACTGAGAAGTATTCATGTTGTTTACAGCAGCAGTGTAAAATTCTCTTTTGATTAAGAATTCTTAGTGCTTTACCGTTTAAAATCCTTTTCAAAAAAGAGTAAAATGGCAGTCGTCAAACTCCTTATGGTCATGTGCCATATTTTGATAATGTTGGTTTTCAGAAAATATGTTCGTGCCGATATAGTATGTGTTATTTCATACCGAAATGCCCTGCTAATCAGATTAAGTAGGCATGATTTTCATTTCAAAAATAAAAAAATTGCGACATTAAATTAATATGTTGACAAGATGTTTTATAGACTTTCAGGTAATTTAGCTGCTTTATTCTGGATAATATGAATTAACATAGCATTTTTAATATTAAAAATAACTGAAACTGAATGAGTGTATTCGATGTAAAGAAGTAGACAAATCTTATGTATGCAATATTTGGTGAATCTTACTGTCTAGAGTGTCATTTTCAAATAGCTAGTGCTAGTATAGTCGCTTTCGATATCAAGAGTCTTGAAAAATATTTAAAAAAATACTTGTGTCGAAACAATAGTCAGCTTTTCAATTTCTGTTAGTTTCAACTATGAGTTCTATGAAAAATGCGATTTTCTGCTTGGTTTTTTGTCTCTCATCTCAGAAGGTAAATTTCAGCTTTGCTTCTCATTATTTATTTCAATTATAACAATTCTGATCTATACAGATTACTCATTTATTATGTCTTTTTGGGGCTCCCATAACAGTCGGCAGCTGCGACTTTTCCTTTATCAATCATCTTTTGCAGAAATAAGAACGCGAGAGTCATTCTAGACATGTCACCGAAATCACACTTTGAGAACACGTGAAATGAAGTGATGGTGTCCATGTGAATGCGAGTTTTGACGACGGTGTTGTTCTAGGTGTATATATGTGGTCAAAGAGTCGTGCCGACACTCGCACACTTCAACAAGTTCTAAAGTCACAAGTAGAAATAAAAAGCTAATAAGAAAATAACAATCATATTAGTTTTTCATTCCAAGAAACCAGTGCTCGTTAGAATCGAAATGTACAGAAAAGAATAGTGAATGATAGATACAAAGTTATATTTTTCGATTCTGTTTCCCTGTGAAATGCATAACTTCATGTTGAATGAAGGATATTTGTATTAAAATGAACATTTTTTCGTCGGCTCGTCCCATTGTTCACTACTGAAAATGATATCGAGTGTTAAAAGTATCTTGATACGATATGCTCACAAATGTCATTGAAATTATACACTGGTTTTTAAGAGTTTACTGAGCTCACAATCTCTTCCGTGTATGATGGTGCAACTTTATATTTTCATTTAGAACCTCAAGAATTCGATATTTCTGGTGAGAAACTTTATGAGATCTATATATTTCGCTGGTTGCCACTAATCAGCAAAGCATCTTGAAAGATTTGCTCTCGAGAGAATAGAATAGATGATTATGACTATTGTCATGAGAAGTCATGTATTACATGGTTTGTTCATAGTTAATTGTAACAGAACTTATACTCGTAAAGTGAAAGTTAATTGAACAAGCCATTAATGGTCGTCTAACAATTCGCTTCCTCTGTCAACTATGATCTGCTGAAAGTCTTCTTAGCTGCACTGATAGAAAAAGATGATAAATGAACTCCATCTTCCTAAGGATGGTTCGTCTGCCATGTAAATCTCATTTATTAACCCAACTCCAACGATGTGTTTGGTAGAAAACAACATTTTGTAATAGAATGTTTTTGCCCGATGTCACAAGTGCCGTTATGATTATTCTTTTTTCATGCGACCTTGAATCAACCCAGGTCAACGATTCCAGCCTCCGGATCCTGCAGGAACCGGCCGGAAAAATACCCCGATCTTGGAAGCAATATTCCGGCCGGAAATTTCTCGTACCCGGAAACGGAATGTTCCGCTCATTTCCCGCTACCGGATATCAACGGGAAAAACGTGATAACCCGTTTGAAAGATCGTTTTCTCGAAAATTTCTTTTTTCAATGCAGAATCGGACTTTTTGAGAAAAAAAATTTTTTACTTAAACACCCAAAATTTTTGTGAAAAAAATTTTCTCGAGAAAGATCTTTGAAAGATCTTTTTTCGAAAAATTTTTTTTAATGCCGATTCAGACTTTTCGAGAAAAAATAAATTTTCCTCAAAACTCTCCAAACTTTTTCGAAAATAAGACTTTAGGACCCCAGGGTTCGGGACCTTTACTAAACAGTTGCCAGTTAACCGGCAACTGGTAACGCCGGTAAGTTTTCCGTTGCCAGTTACCTGACAAAGTAATGGGTGGCTTCACATCCCTATGTGGTGCATGACATCAAGTCGGTCTTTACACATTACGTGTAGCGATTCGAAAGACTTTGAAATCGGATTGTAATAACTTACTTAGGTTCTTCGGGGTTTCGGAAGAGTAGTTGCTGTGGGCACGACATCAACTCTGTCTTTACACATTACATGTAGGGATTTTGAAGTCTTTCAAAGATCTCTGAAGTCATAGAAAGATCTTTGAAAGGATTATGATAGATTTTGGACACTCTCCTAAAGATATTTGAAAGATTTTGCAAAGTCTTCGAAAAGTGTTTGAAAGATCTTTCAATGTCTTCGAAGGGATTTTGAAAGATATCTCAAAGTCTTTGGAAGATCTTTCAAAGGTCTTTGAAAGGCCAAATATGGGCTTTGTCAACGAAACGGAAAGAGGTGGGATATAACCGGATCCTGTGATCAGGATGAAACCCCGGAACCGTAGTTAGAAACCGTACCGGAAACGGCAGGTATACGGCTCGGATCCGGTTAGAGTGCTGTAGAAGAGGAAACTTAGTTGGAAACCGCACTGGAAACGACGGCCGTATCCGAAGATCGCACCCGGAGGCAGGAATGAGCGGGAATTAAGCAGGATCCGGATGCCGGATCCGATTTTGGAATACTGCTTCCAGGAATTGGCCGGAATTTCTCGGGATCCGGCCGTTTCCCGCCGTACATCTTTGACCTGGGTGATCGTCGAACATGTAATTTTTTCTCGTGATTTGAATATAAAAATCATGATATTCATGAAAAATTAGTGATGTGTCATATCTATAAGTATTATTGAATTTTCGCTAAAATTTACACAATATGAACAACAGTTGACATTGTAATACGTCAGTTTTGTTCTAAGTCATATAATATCTGATTTATGAATGGTTGATAGAGTCCTATGTTTTTTTACATGTATCCAACTTTTTTTGTTCTCTTTTTTTCTATCTTATTGTTTGCTCTCGTAAATTGTCTTATTGTTCGGTCTACTCGGTTTTTCAATTTCTATATCTATGGGCGAGAGCATGATTCTTCTTTTTTTACTATCATTTATTTCCTGTTTCCATATTTCTCTTCAGATCGATTACGAACAACCTCGCTGTTTCTTCGTTGTTCATATCTCTATTTTACGCTAGTATGCACCGCCTTATTTTAATTCTTGATAAGTTTAAATATATTCGCGTCTCAGCGTCTTTTATCTATTCATATCAGTAAGAAAGT